AAACAGTAAAAAGAATAAATAAACTTTATTTTATTTCATCCCTAATAACATCCAATTCAGCTATAAATTGTTGAAGAGGACGACCGGGGCTAACTTTCATACGAAGAAAACACTTCTCTATTTTCCGTTTTAAAGTAGCCAACTCAATTAGGGTGGGGTGTGGGTGTGGGTGTGGGTGGGGGTGTGGGTGTGGGTGTGGGTGGGTGTGGGTGTGGGTGTGGGCGTGGGTGTGGGTGTGGGTGGGGTGTGGATGGGGCGTGGGTGTGGGTGTGGGTGGGTATGGGTGGGGGTGTGGGTGTCGGTGTGGGTGTGGGTGGGTGTGGCTGTGGCTGTGGGGGTGTGGGTGTATGTGTTGTTCTTTTGTTAATTCACACCTGCGCACACCCACACCCACACCCACACCCACACCCACACCCATACCCACACCCACACCCACACCCACATCCACATCCACACCCACACACCCACACTCACACCCACACCCACACCCGCACCCACACCCACACACCCGCACCCACACACTCACACCCACACCCACACCCTTCTTTTCTCTGTAGAAAAACTTGAATTTTGTAAAATCTTTGGTTCAACTCAGTCGAAATTCAAACCTATTTGAATTATTATATTTCCCTTCCTTTCATTTTTTCTTTGACAAATACATATATTTTGATACATAAGAAAGAGAGAAACATACAAGTGAAATAGGAGGAAAGAGGCCAATAAATGACCTCTACTCCGTTCTATACTATTTTATATAAAGAAAATGATGTCTCACATGTTCTTTTATTAGAGAGTCCCTACAACATTTAGAAGAGAAGAAAAGCATGGTAATTTATTGAAATTGTTACGGTCGGATGGGAAAATAGAATAGAAAATAGGGAGAGAGAAATAAGAGGAGAAAAGAATAAGAAATAAATATGTATGCTAGAGCACTGTGGCAAAGTTAAATATATTTACATACATATTTAAGTGGAAATCGGTTTCGAATATTGGAACCAAATCGAATCGAATCAAAAACAATTCAAAACGAACTGAACTGAACAGAAATTGATTCGGTTCGGTTCGGTTTCAAACCGAACAGATTCTATCACTGATCCACACTCACACCCATCCCAACACTAGATACTCTCGCATAGTTCAGTTTTCCTTGTCAATGACCAACTTTATTCTCGACTTGTCGAATGCAAATGCCATATGGACGTACGTCTGTGTCGTTTGGACTAACCCAATAATCTCCAGCTCCTGAACGATTGGATTGAAGCTTTTTCAAAGTTGTAGGATTTATACGATTTTGAAGGACAACTATATATTGTTCATTGTTATAAGTAAACTTTTTTGCATATTTTTCTGCTAAATTTATATCTGGAGTTGAATAGACGCCACTAGTAAATGGATATTGTTGTCCTTGTGTTAAAGCATAGCCATTCTGTGCCATTGTTTTATTTTCAAATTCACCTGTCCCATGATATGATACAGGCCATTCGCCTATACCATTATCGCAACCTATCCATGATAAATTTTCATACTTATCAGTAACGTTGAGAGCATATCGTCTGAATCCACACGGACGAATATATTGTTCGCCGCCTCGTCTAAATGTTTCGTGATCATCTTTGATATTTGTAAAGTCAAAATTATGTACCGGATCTAAGGTTGCAGCATCCAAAATAACTGGTTTGTCAGCAGATACCCTTATTACGAGATGAAGTGTAGCTTTGGAGGATATATTATAGGCATTTATAGTTTTGCCGTCTTCTAACTGTTTTCCGGCAAATATAAGACGTTGTTTATTAGCTGGTATTTTTTTTAATCCATGAATACGTTCTTTAATGTCTTCAATCTTGGCATTTGACTCTACATCGCAGTCAATAGTCATATTATTTACCGCCTTAATAGTTAATAAACATCGATGGTTTGCTATTGAGGTATCAGGTGTGCCACCAACTGGACCATATGAATATGTTGTTTTATGATGATCAAACAACGAAACTTTCTCTACTTCATTAAAGTCCGAAAAATGTGTATGCAGTTGTAAATCCATAATGCCTGAAAATGCAGCAGTTATCAAGTCTGCATCTACTTGATCGGGTATAGCAGCCTTCAGTGTTGAAGATGGAAATTCCTAAAAAAAGGGCTTCAATGTAGATAGTTCATGCAAAAATATGATATGTTTCTACGTCACTAGATAAAAAATGGCTTTTTAACAAGAAGTGAATAGGTACTTGTCTGAATATATATCAAATCGAGAATAAAATATTTATAGATTTAACTACTCACCAATAAGTATCGTTTTGGATAAGGGTGTAAAAACTCAAATACTTCAATATTTCAATTAAAACTGTAGATTTGATCGTATTTCAAAATATGAATATCTGCATATGCATATATATTGTGATGTGTAGAGGGTGTGAGTGTGGATATTGCCGTGGGTGTCACTGAAGCAATGATCCACACCCACACCCTGACTCCAATTAAGAAAAAAAAACAAGCAATTACTGCTATCGCAACCGATTTTCCTTTGCATGTTCCTATTTCTAACAAAGTGTTGATTAAATCATTAGAGATTTTTTTTGTAAGTGAGATTAATTAATGGAATTGGAATTTTCTTTGTTTCTGGATCACCAATAACAAAATAGGGAAAATAGTAATAACTTGTGCAACATGTGGCATCAAAAGATAAGTTATAGCTTGTTCAATCCCACGCGATTTATTGTACTGTTGAGTATTGTTTAGAGTCTAGCCATAGAACTATATCTTTAGTTTATGTGCACTGAATACTTCCCTTAACGGCACAATAACAGTTGCAATAAATCGAGTCTTAGATTCACATAAAGAACTACTCATGATCCTACGTAATTCAGAATTCATAGGGATACCGACTGCTTCAATATGTTCTAAAAACTCGTTACTGTTTATTTCTACTCCGGTTTCCTTTATCTCGTAACCTGCAATGAACTGAATTGTGGTAGAATTTGCTGTACTGGATTCACCAACCAAAAGAATAATGCCTTTTTTCTTAATCAGTCTGACTGCTTCTTCTGTCTTCTTCACGAGTCTCTGCATCTCCGATACATCTATTGCTCCGGTTTTTCTTAAGAAATCATAAGGAGCATTCAACGTAGAAGAATAATCCTCTGTATTGATCACTCTTTCTAGATTCTGAAGAATAGCTCTAATTTCTCCGAAAACTAGTTCTTGCTTTTCAACCTGTTGCCTCAACAAATGTAACCAAGAAATTATGGTGTCTTAAATGTTATAAGGTAGAGAATCTCCAAGCAATATCTCCTCAAAATATACGTTAAGATTCAATGTTGCTTTTTTGGCACAAGTGGGCGTATCATTGCAATGCAACGTCAATCTTTCAAACGCTATTGCTTTTCTTTCTCAGCGAAGGTCATTCTATTTGAATCTTTTGAAGCCCCTTCTCTATATGCTCTTGCAAAGATAGGTCTTAAATATTTTCACAAGTAACCTTATCTGATTTTGTCTTAGTATCAGACGGCCTTGTTGTTGTTGGCATAGCTTCAGGTTCTGGCAGCGTTCTTTCTCTTGCAGATTGATTTTGCATTTGAGCTCTTGGTGCCTGTGAATTCCTTTCAGACTGATTCGTCAATGTTGCTGATTCTAAATGAGAAAGACAAACGAAAATCACTCTTAGTTATCATATTGCACAAAACGGGGTCGCATGGCGCTGGTAAGTTTGCGTCTGGGGTGTGGCATATATAGAAATAATTTTCTTTTTTCGGATCAGCATCAACATAGGTCTGATAATTTCAGACCAAATCGACTGGTATAGTGGCTTTGCTGATCTACATGTAAAAACAGTGAAACTGTTGTAATAGATCAAATCAGCATCTTGGTAATAAACAGAATGATAATCAAACATCAGTTCATCATATGATATGGGTGTACGGGTATGAGTGTGGGGTTTGCGTGAAAGTATCACTCATACCCACACATCCAATCCATACCCATATCTTGCTCATGTCAGAAACAGAAAAGCTTTGAAAATGCTTCAATATTTCATGATATCGACATCAACTGAGCTTGGCCTCGGCGATAGATGTTCATATGATACAGAAAAAGAAGGGAGTTTTTGTATTTCAACAGAATTCGCTTCACTCCTGCGGTTTCTGGAGAGTCTACTTTCAAACTCTTCAGCAATTTTAGTACTTCTATTTACCGACTTTCTTTAGTAATTGGAATACAGCATCATTGGGTTTATCAATGGTCAGAGTCTATGTATTTGACTGTGCTTCACATTGTCTTAAGCTGTCCAATACACGAGAGGGTTTTGTTGACAGTAACAACTAGTAGTAGATTTAGGTAAACGGAATTTCAACTTCTAAAGTAAAGTACTAGTTTACAGACATATTCATACAAATAAAACGTTTGTCAGTAGATCACAGGTACAACTCAGCACTAAATTAGATACGCTGAAACCAAAGAATTTCCATTTTCTCACCTTTTGTCACCTTCAAATTGAAAATAATGAATACTGACACTTATATTCAGTCAAGAGAGTACTAGCGTATTGAAAAAGAAAACTTTCTAGGACGTCAATGATTGTCCGAAATTCAAGAGACTGTTTTCAAATTAGTTCACATAACTACAGTTCGATCTCAGCTCTTCTATTTAAGAATATTGTTCACAGATGTTTTGGATAGCGAAAGACCACTCAACACCTGCTCAACATTTAATTTTTAGTCTAAAAACATCAAAATCGCATGATAATTTGAGCGTAAGCGAAGATTTTAACCGACCATGGTTATTATAAACTTCGACCGTATATGTTTGTTGTTCGAGCTATTCAAGCAAGCGAAAACACCAAATAACTGATATAATGATCTTCAGAACACTTCATATCGTGATTCTGCTTGAGAAACCTATCTTTTCGTTTCAGAAAGAAAAATGGAATACGCAACATCTCTCGCTTTCCTTTGTTGATTAAGATCATTCCTGGTAAGTAAAACAAAGCAAAACCGCACTAAACATTACATCTAGAAAATGTGTTTAGGAACTACAACTCATCACTGGACGTTACCTTATAATGAATAATAAAAGCTTTTATTCAAAATTATAAAGAGAAGTCACAGTGTGCACATCGGCTTTTCAAAAGATCATAATCTGGTCGTAGACTCATGACATACATTCAACCAACTACAACGAGATTCAAACCTTCAGAATATAGTGGTCTCTTTGCACATTTATCAAGGCTACAACCGACTGTCTGAATGCAACACATCTACTTCCGATCAGGGCAGTTTTATTCAACAAGCCCTTCCCCCCCCCCCCCCCCCCCCCTTGAGTCACATTATTGGTTGTCGATGTAAAGCTGCCACGACGGATTTAGGTGATCGGCAAATCCTCAGCCACAGGATCTATACATATGAGACCTGTGTGAGGGGGCTCAGAAGGGCATACTCAACAGCCCCCTGTAGATCCTGTGTCTCCGGTTCGCAAGCTTGAAGATTTGCAGATCATCTAAATTCATCGTGGAAGCTTCCCGTCATGCTAGCTTCGCATCGATTTATTGGTTCCTATTCTGCATCATCATACCCTGTGTTTCAATAGCAGTTTCCTTCAATCGTTCCACTATCGATCCAAGTTTCTGGAGTGCAACCAGATCAGCTTCCTTTTGAGCAGCGGTCTTTTGTCTTCCTTTTTTCTGCGCCTCTGCGATCTCATCTTTCATCTTGGCTATCTTTTGCAAAAGTTCTTTGACATCATCGAGTTCACATTCCTTTAAACCATTGTCCAGTTGACGTTTTAGTTGTTCGATAGCTAGACATTGACTATTCGATGCTTTAAGAGCTTTTATCTTTTCCGCTAACGATTGAAATTTCTGGAGTTCAACCAGAGCAGCTTCCTTTTGAGCAGCGGTCTTTTGTCGTCCTTTTCTCTGCGCCTCTGCCATCTCATCTGTCGTCTTGGCTATCTCTTGCAAAAGTTCTTCGACACTATCGAGTTCACATTCTTTTAAGCCCTCACTCAGTTGAGTTTCTAGTTCTTCAATGGATTCGTGAGATATGGACTGGTGTTCTTCCGACGTTGGTGGAAGTGTCATTGAATTGGTTTTCTCGTGTGTAGGGTCGCTGGAACGACTGAGTGAACCGTTTTCGTCTTTATTGACTGATGTTCTAAGACTCGAGTCTGAGAGTAATGCATCGGAGAGTGGGGCAGAGGAGATAACAGAGTCGACAATCATGGATCCATTATCGCTTTTTGTAACTCCTGTTGCGACGTCATGCCATTCTTCTTGTTCATTAGTATCCATTGTATAGCAGACGACTTTTTCTTGGATATTAAATTAATTCGTATCACTTCACTTGAAATTTTGAAGACCGAATATATGTTGAAAATTATGAGTTTGTGAAGAATCTCTACAATAGACAAAGATGTTTGTTATTTGTGAACGTTTAGACATGTGTTTTGAATAATGGCAAAAATTTGAGAAAGTAGATAATTATGATCCACAGAATCAGTCTCTGATAGCTGCACTAAACTTGAGGTTGTGAATGAGCATAGATGCGGCTCAAACATCTATTTCGATAGACATTGAAATCCTTGCTTCTATTGCTTCAGATTTTGAGACGTATTCAGCAATGATTTTTCTAAGAAAAAGCTCGAGAGTTCTAAATTGTATAGATCGTGATAACTAAGAGAATTAACTTTTCTGAAAAGCAATTAGCGCAATTCCTTGTCAGATTAAAAATATGAAACATGATATACCTATTGTTAGTGAATTTCTAAAAAACTCTGTATTTTATGCACTTTAGCACACATATCATAGTAGTTACTTAGTCCATAGCACCTCAAGTTGGCATAAAACTACTTTATGTGCTGTTCTACTAGATCTCACCGGTTAAGTCTGTTCCTTCCCCTTTTTCACGACTCATCGATCAGTGTTAAGGTGTAGTTGTGGAAGTATCTGAGTGTGAGATTCGATCTGATATTCACTCCCACACCCAGCAACACCCATCTTTCTCATATGGAATGAAGAGTATCCATTATATGAGTAGTGGATGTGGGCGCATTGTTGCGGCTGTTAATACCACAGGGTAGCCACGCGCTCCGACACTCACACCCTGGAAGCATAGCTCAAGCAATCGGGTAAGTGCAGGTTCCAAGCTCCAAATTATGCTGATTATGCTGAGAAGGTACTGAGGTAGTGAGAAAATGCTGAGGTGCTGAGAAAGTGCGGAGGTGCTGGTAGGTTTTACAAAAGAATATATAAGCTCAATCGCTGTTATGTGACAGATTGACAGCGCTGGGTGTGGGCGTGGTGTGGGCAAGGGAGAAAAGACTAATCGGAATGACTGCGAATGGTTGGGAATGGATCAGAATAGATCGGAATGGATGGGAATAGATGGCATTGGCTACTATTTAGAGCCACTGTTAGGTGCTCAAGTTCTATTATTTAGAAGAATCCTTAGGTCCTCAAGTTCTATTATTTTGAGGTATCTTTTGGGGTTACCGGACATTCGCCAATAGGAATTTCGCCAAATGGACTTTCGCCATTGGCGAACGTCCAGTGAACTTTGGCCAATTGGCGAACGTCTAGTGAGCTTTCGACAGCATGCTCCCCATACTTTCGCCAATTGACGAATTTCCAATGAACTTTCTTGAATTTACATATAACAGGAGCGTTGATTAGAGAGATTGATCAACTGTATTTATAGCAGATATTCCTCAATCTAATAGTTATCAGTTTTATCCATATTTCGGTTGGTGTGTGGATGTGGGTGTGGGTAGCTATATAGAAGTTAGTTACCCTTACATCCACATCCACATCCACACCCACACCCTCTTATTCAAGCTTCTTGTTTCTATCTGTTCTTTTTTTTGTTAAATTAGCATCGTTTGAAATCATCTTATTCACTATTCCTTTTTTGCTCTAGTATGTTGTATCTAAAAAAATGACATGATCATATTTAAACTAAGTCTAACTGTATGCCTTGGGGTACATTTTTATAATGCTAGGCGTAGTTCTTGTACACCACTTACGATATGAATATTCCACGTTCAATAATGAAAACCTATTCAACTTTCTCTATTCGCCCCCTGGAAATTCGTCAATTAGCGACAGCTCAGTCGAATTTCGCCAATATATCCTTTGGAAATTCGCCAATTAGCGAAAGTTCAGTGAACTTTCGCCCATGTATCCCTTGGAAATTCGTCAATTGGCGAAAGTCTTATTGGCGAATTTCTGGACCCCCATCCTTTGGTCCTCAAGTCCTAATATTTAGAAGTTCCATCAAGTCCCCATTGGCTATTATTTGGAGGTACCCTTCGGCCCTCCAGTTCTATTATTTAGAGGTACCCTTGAATCCTCATTGGCTATGATTTAAGGCATTCTTGAGTCCTCACATGCCATTGTACGACTGTATGCTCGGTTCTTAAGTCTTATTAAAAGCCCTCCACAGAATATTAATTTATCGCATAATAGAAGCCTATACGGAATGGAAACGCAGTCCGAAGGTTAGCGCTTTCTGAACACATTAGGAGTCTAACTATCTCAAATGAGCACAGAACAGACGCTTACAGAAACTGAGAATTGAACTCATTGCTTCTCAGTATTTAATTATAGATCACTTCTATATGTCTCGATGGATTTGCTTTGTATACGTTTTCTATCAAAAGAGAAATCAAAAGAGCTAATGGCTTTCGAGTGCTGGACAATAAATACCAATTCATATTAATATGGCATATGTGTCTTTGAAGTATTGAAAAGGTTTAACGTATTAAACAACAACGCTCTCTTAGATCTTTTTTGTGAAGAAATTATGTATAGCTCAGAAACCAAATGATGCAAACTTATACTAATTTTTGTGGCAATATGCATAAACCTTGCACCGGAAAATTAAGTTTCTGAAGAAACTTAAGTATAATTGGTACGAATTATGCACGCGTTTGTTACGCTTGCATTACAATTAGGGGTGGCACTTTCACTTTCTTTTTACTTTCAAAAAGGAAAGGAAAGGAAAGTTGAAAGATACTTAACTTTCCTTTCCTAAAAGAAAGGAAAGGAAAGTGAAACCTTTAGGTCTTCAAGTCCTATATAATGGGTACCCTTGGGTCCTCAAGTCCTATATCATGAGGGTATCCTCGGGGCCTCAAGTCCTATATAATGAGGGTACTCCTAGGTCTTCCAGTCCTATATAATAGAGGTACCCTTAGGTCCTCCAGTTCTATATAAAGGGGGTACCCTTAGGTCCTCAAGTCCTATATAATGGGGGTACCCCTAGATCCTCAAGTCCTACATAATGAGGGTACTCCTAGGTCCTC